TTCCTCCTCCCCCCAGTCCCGGGGGTCGACATCACCGAGTTCCGGGGGTCGACATCACCGAGTCCCGGGGGTCGACATCACCGAGTTCCCACAGGGACTTAAGTAGATAAACGGAAGTATTCGTCTGTGCGGGTTGTGTGCACAGTATGAGCGCCGCTCCATCCACACCCAACATCCAGTGTTATGTTTCCCAGTTCAAGGGTAGCGGAGAGTGAAGTGTTTCACCAAATATTGAGCTATTTGTGGAGCTTTTCTCAGTTGTACTGCTGTGGCATTGCTGCACAATCATAATTTGTTCTGCATCTTCAACATTGTTTCTTTGTGTGCTTTAACCACAACAGTGATTTTGAACTATTTATAGATCTGTAGAGTGTTTTAGTCCATCGATATCGTTCAAGTTTTTAAATAACCCAACATGTCACAGAGTGGTGGTTGGCCGAAAAAAGATATTAAAAACTTCGTGATATAATCAGAATAAGAGAATCAATATTAAAACGTATTATTATGCAGGTGTATATAAAATAAAATAACACGGTCCATAGCAAACGTAATCTCGTCAAAGCAAAGTCTAAATATTATGTTGCTAGAGCATTAGTGTCCCTTTATCTACACTACTTTGAGTGTCCGTGATAGAAAAACACAACAAGCCACACTACGATTATTGAATTAGTACATTAGAAACTCATTTGCAGAACTACTTGAATCTTTGCTTCCCCACAATAAGGCATTCCCATCTCGTGTAGCACTAATGTTTGGTACCGTACACGGTGCTAAAAGTTATGGTGTACATCTTACTCAGGTTGTAGGACAGCATTGGGGTTGATCCAGGCTGGAGTGTTGCATCACAGTTATGGAAATAGAAAACAATACGCTTTGATGACAGACTCAACTGGGGGAATTTATGGCGTGCTGGGGTTTAATGAAGTTACCAAACTCTGAAGTTGTCGGTATACGGCTGCGGTGCTTCGCGGTCCTCGATCATCGTCAGTGCTAACTATTCGTGACTTGAGAATTTCCCCGCCTCGAGTGAGGATTGTTGGAGCGTTCACAAAACACTGCTTACCTCGTTTACTACAACACTCACACCAACTGCACCAGGCGCTGTCGTACCACAACCTACTTCATCTTCCAAGAAAGGCCTAATGTTTAAAGAAATACTTTATGTCGTTTTAGTTTCGTTTTTGTTTTGGTGGGAGCTACAGTTCAGAATTTACACTGCGTTAATGTCCACTGAGGTATATGCCACAATAGTTACATAACCGTGTATTTTGGCTGCGATGATTAGACCAGTAGTAATACGTAATGGTTGCATGTACTTCAAAATGTGTGCTGGTAAAAAAAAAATATATTAAGTAAATTATTCTTTAAAAGGAGTTCCGCTGATATGACATCATGTTGATGTAGGATGCTCGTTTGAGAGATCGTATTTTGATGTACAGAACTAATGTCTGCACTCACTCACTCACTCACTCACTCACTCACTCCTGATATCTGTGCAACACATACTCATGATAACGCATAAGGGAACACATGAAAAGTACAAGTGTTCCTTTATTCTTTTCCTGGTGTCTTCACAAGGTATTTATTGCACAGTGGGTGCAGGAACACTTTTACTTTCATGTGTTCCCTTATTCGTTTCCATGAGTATATCTCTCTTATAGGTTAGTGAAAGAAGTGAATGTAAACCAGTTTTGACGACGATATTCAAACTTACCGGTAATACCAAAGTTCATTCTTCTGAAACCATCCGTCAGCTGTAATACAAATTAAACGAAGTAACACCCAAGTCACTTAATTCCAATCCGATATTTAAAAACAGCTATCTCTTCAAACTATCAGCGGAAAGATGCAATAAACTTCATGTTAGTATATCTGCGATCTACCAAACGCTTCGTTACCAAACGCTTGTGAGTCGAATGTTTTACCAATCAGGTGCATACGGGTCGGCCTAGCTGTCAGATATACACGTGCGTAAATCATTCTGCACGTGCAACAGGTGCGGTGGCTATTACACGTGATCTCTGTGTCTGGCTACATCGTTAGGAATCAGTTCCCATGATCCCTGAAATCGCCATTGGTCATCTTTCGTTATCAAGTGAAGATATCACATGTACCGTAGGCTATAATAAGGTTGTTGAATTGTTTTTTTAAACGTATGAGTGGTTTATGAATGAGAATGTGGCGCTTTTATGATGAGCATGACGAGGGTATTTTTAGTTAACGACTACCTCCAAGGAACAGCCTCTGTTACTCGGGTTATTAAAATAGAAAAACACTCCAGTAAACCTGAAAATTATTTATTTATTTATTATACACTTGAATGTAAATCCTGGTACATCTCACGGCAAGAAAACTTTACGCGTGTGTGCGTGCATGCGTGTGTGTGTGCGTGCAGTTATGTGCTTTGTAGACCGGGATAACAATAACGTAATAGCCTCTTCCTGTTACAGGCCACTAACCCACTCTCTATATCATGAACTCACTCTCTATTTCATGAACTCATGGACTCACTCTCTATATCATGAACTCACTCTCTATTTCATGAACTCATGGACTCACTCTCTATATCATGAACTCACTCTCTATTTCATGAACTCATGGACTCACTCTCTATATCATGAACTCACTCTCTATATCATGAACTCATGGACTCACTCTATATCATGGAATCATGGACTCACTCTGTATATCATGAACTCACTCTATTTCATGAACTCATGGACCCACTCTCTATATCATGAACTCACTCTCTATTTCATGAACTCATGGACTCACTCTCTAAATCATGAACTCACTCTCTATTTCATGAACTCATGGACCCACTCTCTATATCATGAACTCACTCTCTATTTCATGAACTCATGGACTCACTCTCTAAATCATGAACTCACTCTCTATTTCATGAACTCATGGACTCACTCTCTAAATCATGAACTCACTCTCTATATCATGAACTCTCTCTCTATATCATGAACTCACTCTCTAAATAATGAACTCACTCTCTATATCATGAACTCACTCTCAAAATAATGAGCTCACACTCTAAATAATGAACTCACTCTCTAAATCATGAACTCACTCTCTATTTCATGAACTCATGGACTCACTCTCTATATCATGAACTCACTCTCTATATCATGAACTCACTCTCTATATATCATGAACTCACTCTCTATATCATGAACTCATCGACTCACTCTCTATATCATGAACTCACTCTATATCATGAACTCATGAACTCACTCTCTATACCATGAACTCATGGACTCACTCTCTATATCATGAACTCACTCTCTATATCATGAACTCACTCTCTAAATCATGAACTCACTCTCTATATCATGAACTCACTCTCTATATCATGAACTCACTCATGATCTATATCATGAACTCACTCTCTATATCATGAACTCACTCTCTATATCATGAACTCACTCTCTATATCATGAACTCACTCTCTATATCATGAACTCACTGGAACTCACTCTCTATATCATGGACTCATGGACTCACTCTCTATATCATGAACTCACTCTCTATATCATGAACTCATGGACTCACTCTCTATATCATGAACTCACTCCTAAATCATGAACTCATGAACTCTCACTCACTCCAGTAAACCTGATTATATACTTATTTATTATACACTCTAATGTAAATCCTGAACTCACTCAAGAAAAAACTTTATGTGTGCGTGCATGCGTGTGTGTGTGCGTGCAGTGTGCTCAGACTCTAACAATAACGTAATGCCTCTTCCTGTTAAGGCCACTAACCCACTCTCTATATCATGAACTCACTCCTAACTCATGGACTCACTCATATCATGAACTCACTCATGAACTCATGGACTCACTCTATATCATGGACTCATGGACTCACTCTGTATATCATGAACTCACTCTCTATATCATGAACTCATGGACTCACTCTCTATATCATGAACTCATGGACTCACTCTCTATATCATGAACTCACTCCTAAATCATGAACTCACTCTCTAAATCATGAACTCACACTCTAAATCATGAAGTCACTCTCTATATCATGAACTCACTCTATATCATGAACTCACTCTCTATATCATGATCTACTCATGGACTCACTCTCTATATCATGAACTCATGGACTCACTCTCTATATCATGAACTCATGGACTCACTCTCTATATCATGAACTCACTCTCTATATCATGAACTCACTCTCACTCTGTATATCATGAACTCACTCTCTATATCATGAACTCACTCTCTATATCATGAACTCACTCTCTATATCATGAATCAACTCTTGCCTATACATGATACCTATCATGAATCAACTACACATATACCTATCTATACGATATATGATCCAGCATATAGTTTCTTATTAAGCTATCTGTCAGGATACTGGCTAAAGCTCCACTAAATTTGTATCCGATGTGTACATCACGTACGTTCGCCGATGAATCATCAATGCCCTACTTAGAAACATAAAGTGGTGGCAAACCTCTGTTTCCTTCCCTGTTTCCCTTCAACCACAGTAAAAATAAGAAAGCTCTCATTTATTTCGTATTCTGGTTTTTCTAGATAGAGCACTTGCCTCTCTAACTAATCGGGGAAATCATTTCATGATTGTACAGTAGACGGGGGAAATGAAAGCCTCAATAATAGTGTTTCACTGAATGGTACTGATATATCTGGTATATTGTTCGCCTCGTACACAGATATCATGTCAACAGTATATGATAAAAATTCTTTAAAAAAGAGAAAGGTTTATATAGTTGTTAATTTCGAAAAGCAGCAGAGCTTGAATGTAATATTTTCTTGTTTCTGCAAGCCCATTCCAAACAATTTCACAATCGAAAGCATCTCGGAGAGCATATTTTGGAAAATCTGTAACTGTAAAGTTTTTCACGTGCTTCAAATTAATTTCCTTTAATTCAAAAGGCATGCATCATTCCCTTCACGGTGGGCACGTGTAGCAATAGTATCTGCATTGGTTCAAGCTTTGTATATTCAGCAAAGATTTACTTTTGATGATTTTGAATCCGAGAGGTACACAAAGTCCGTGGTCGAGACTACCACTTGTCTGACTTCCACTTGTCCCACTTCCACTTGTCCACTACCACTTGTCCCACTTCCACTTGTCCCACTACCACTTGTCCCACTTCCACTTGTCCCACTTCCACTTGTCCCACTACCACTACCACTTGTCCCACTACCACTTGTCTCACTTCCACTTGTCCGACTTCCACTTGTCTCACTACCACTTGTCCCACTTCCACTTGTCCCACTTCCACTTGTCCCACTACCACTTGTCCCACTTCCACTTGTCCCACTACCACTTGTCCCACTACCACTTGTCCCACTACCACTTGTCCCACTTCCACTTGTCCGACTTCCACTTGTCCACTTGGTCCCGACTTCCACTTGTCCCACTTCCACTTGTCCCACTACCACTTGTCCGACTTCCACTTGTCCCACCACTTCCACTTGTCCCACTTCCACTTGTCTCACTACCTTCTTGTCCCACTTCCACTTGTCCACCACTTCCACTTGTCCCACTACCACTTGTCCCACTTCCACTTGTCCCACTTCCACTTGTCCCACTACCACTTGTCCCACTACCACTTGTCCGACTTCCACTTGTCCGACTTCCACTTGGCCGACTACCACTTGTCCCACTTCCACTTGTCCCACTTCCACTTGTCCCACTTTCAATTGTCCGACTACCACTTGTCCGACTTCCACTTGTGTGGAAAACACAGTGGGTGAGTGGATGAAACAGCTGACTGTGTGTGCTGGCGATGAGGGGAAACAAGTTTGCTGCATAGTCAACATGATCACCTACATATATGATAAATGAAATGGTCCATGGCCCGGCATTTACAGTTTAAATGGAGGTGTTTCTTTCTGATTAAAGTATGTATTCTGAGGGGCCAAGCATTAGTCTAGGCTATTAGCTATCGTTGATTGTTTTTGGATCATGAAAAAGTCTTACATCAAACTCATCGATGTCTTCGTCTCTTATCTACAGAGAGATTAACCATTAAACTGTTCCATCAATCAAACTGAAGCACGTCAGACAATAATATTCCCCTAATAACTACTACTACTACTACTGCATGCAAACTATTACGGCTTCTGACGTGGACTAAATGCATACAGAAGTATGTTGTATACGCATTGGTGTGTGATACAATACGATCTTTGCTTCGAATTTATCGTTAGATAAGAAACGGGTTTATGGTGTTTGAAGGAATTTTATTATTTACAAGGCGCATGTTGACATTTGTGGAAGGCTGGTTCTTTTCGGGTGAACAACTGACTTTTCTTTGTTTTGTTTTTTCACAGAAGCCATGAGTTGGGCATCACATTTTGGCGAATATCTGATCATTATTTGATGGTGATCTTTATATTAAGCAACAAAACTCTTTCCATATTCATACGAAATCTCTCCCAAAAGCAGAGTCGGTTGCACAATTCCCACCATGTGGTGAGTCCACGTTCTTGTCTCAGAACAAAACAGTGATGACACCGGGTGTTCGGACAAGACTGAGCGGATCCTGCCCCACCGGTGGCACCCGTCATAAGACCCCATTCACAAAGTCTGAATCGAACAATACACAGATTATTATCCATGACTTATCAGTGAAACTGAATATTCCTCCTGTCATCTCAACCATGTGTCATTCTCGATCACGCGTCATACAGTATCTATTACGAAGTTATGACAACGGATGATGAAGGAGGACCTCTTGATGATAATAACACTGCTAGAAAGTTCTTACAAAAGATGTGTTTCAATATGTTTACGTGAATTTTGTGCAATTGCGAGTAGGATTAATTGAGAAAACCTAATGGACGTTAGGCAGGTAACTTAATGTTTCAGAGAGTGTATTATCATCTATAATTGCCTGTTTTACTTTTCTGCGTGTAACATATTGTTGTCAAGTGATTTGGATGACAAATGCCACTTGCCAGTTTCCATTTAATTTAAACTTAACAAAAGGTAAGTTGGTTGTATTTGTTTATTAAAGTGTTTCGTTGATTGGATAAAAGCATCGTCAGACATGCAGAACAACACGACCTCCCATTGGCCAACTGCTCCAGCTGTCATTGTCACGTGACTTAACCTTTCTCAATTCCGACCGAAACAGGCCTGTACTGTCGCATAAACAAGATCACTGGCTATTCACAGTTATCGATCCTTGAAGACTGGCGGAAGCTTAAAATGAAATCATGATGTCGTAAAAGCAATATGCCCCGTTTTACATACACAGAAGCTGTAAACGTAATCTTTGTAGCAACAGAACAGCAGGCCCTGATCGCTAGGTTCAATTTAACACGTTCCTTGGGCTTGATTGAGTGACGTCATTTCTCCCATATGAAAATAAAACGACAGGTGGTTCTTTTTTACATTGCTAATATGAAATTAGTAGACCGATGCTTACATTACAATGACAATTTGTACATGGGAAAGTGTGTATTTTTGTTCAAAGTAATTTATTTCCGACAGAAGCAGGAACATGTTTTAAGCGAATAGGACTTGTCGTAATGGCGAAACATCATTTAAATATAACAGTAAATATAAGCAACAACATTGATAGCTATGAACACACATGCTACACTGTTCTTGCCATTAGGTGAATGGTCGATTGTAACACTGTTCTTGCCATTAGGTGAATGGTCGATTGTAACACTGTTCTTGCCATTAGGTGAATGGTCGATTGTAACACTGTTCTTGCCATTAGGTGAATGGTCGATTGTAACACTGTTCTTGCCATTAGGTGAATGGTCGATTGTAACACTGTTCTTGCCATGAGGTGAATGGTCGATTGTAACACTGTTCTTACCATGAGGTGAATGGTCGATTGTAACACTGTTCTTGCCATTAGGTGAATGGTCGATTGTAACACTGTTCTTGCCATTAGGTGAATGGTCGATTGTAACACTGTTCTTACCATGAGGTGAATGGTCGATTGTAACACTGTTCTTACCATGAGGTGAATGGTCGATTGTAACACTGTTCTTGCCATTAGGTGAATGGTCGATTGTAACACTGTTCTTGCCATTAGGTGAATGGTCGATTGTAACACTGTTGCTACCATGAGGTGAATGGTCGATAACACTGTTCTTGCCATTAGGTGAATGGTCGATTGTAACACTGTTCTTGCCATTAGGTGAATGGTCGATTGTAACACTGTTCTTGCCATTAGGTGAATGGTCGATTGTAACACTGTTCTTGCCATTAGGTGAATGGTCGATTGTAACACTGTTCTTGCCATTAGGTGAATGGTCGATTGTAACACTGTTCTTGCCATTAGGTGAATGCGATTGTAACATTAGGTGAATGGTCGATTGTAACACTGTTGCTACCATGAGGTGAATGGTCGATTGTAACACTGTTCTTGCCATTAGGTGAATGGTCGATTGTAACACTGTTCTTGCCATTAGGTGAATGGTCGATTGTAACACTGTTCTTGCCATTAGGTGAATGGTCGATTGTAACACTGTTCTTGCCATTAGGTGAATGGTCGATTGTAACACTGTTCTTGCCATTAGGTGAATGGTCGATTGTAACACTGTTCTTGCCATTAGGTGAATGGTTTGTAACATTGTAACACTGTTCTTGCCATTGGTGAATGGTCGATTGTAACACTGTTGTTACCAAGAGGTGAATGGTCGATTGTGAACACTGTTCTTGCCATTAGGTGAATGGTCGATTGCTAACAAATGTCATGTTCCCAATTGCCATCGAGGTGAATGGTCGATTGGTAACACTTATTTACAGACCGCCGCCATATAGCTGGAATATTGCTGAGTGCGGCGTAGAACTAAACTCACTCACTCTTGCCATTAGGTGAATGGTCGATTGTAACACTGTTGTTACCATGAGGTGAATGGTCGATTGTAACACTGTTCTTGCCATTAGGTGAATGGTCGATTGTAACACTGTTCTTGCCATTAGGTGAATGGTCGATTGTAACACTGTTCTTGCCATTAGGTGAATGGTCGATTGTAACACTGTTCTTGCCATTAGGTGAATGGTCGATTGTAACACTGTTCTTGCCATTAGGTGAATGGTCGATTGTAACACTGTTCTTGCCATTAGGTGAATGGTCGATTGTAACACTGTTCTTGCCATTAGGTGAATGGTCGATTGTAACACTGTTCTTGCCATTAGGTGAATGGTCGATTGTAACACTGTTCTTGCCATTAGGTGAATGGTCGATTGTAACACTGTTCTTGCCATTAGGTGAATGGTCGATTGTAACACTGTTGTTACCATGTTCTTGCCAGGTGAATGGTCGATTGTAACACTGTTGTTACCATGAGGTGAATGGTCGATTGTAACACTGTTCTTGCCATTAGGTGAATGGTCGATTGTAACACTGTTCTTGCCATTAGGTGAATGGTCGATTGTAACACTGTTCTTGCCATTAGGTGAATCGGTCGATTGTAACACTGTTGCTACCATGAGGTGAATGGTCGATTGTAACACTGTTCTTGCCATTAGGTGAATCGGTCGATTGTAACACTGTTGTTACCATGAGGTGAATGGCTCGAGGTGCAACACTGTTTTCCTATTGGTGAATGGTCGATTGTAACACTGTTTCACAATAGGTCAATGGGTCAACTGTAACTGTTGTCACCATGAGGGGAATGCTTGTGTAATACAAAGTTGTTACCATTAGATGAGCGTGTGTGTATGTTTGTGTAAAACTGATGTTACCGTTAGGTAAGGTTTTCGGGTGTAACACTTGACACAGTTTGGTGAATATTTAGGGATTTGACAATATTGTAACCTTCAGGTGAATGTATTGGGGTTTGACAATACTCTAATCTTTAGGTGAATACTTTGGGATTTGACAATACTCTTACCTTTAGGTGAATGTAATGACACTAATGTTAACTTTAGGTGCATGGGCCTAGATATCTCTCAAAGTGAGAGTGTAGCAGAAGAAGATTCCTTAATTTCACCTGTCACATTTCACTCCATGGACAGTGAGTGTATATTCCCTGTGGATATGGAATAAGACCACCCATAAAACATGAGAACTCTAACTTTGGTTCTTTGCCCTTTGAGCTGTGAAAAGGTGCGATAGTGCTGGCATTACGTAACACATGTTGTATTTGGGATTACACTTTGTCAGTAACGAACAGGTTCTAGTAGATAATGGTAGAGGGATACACATTGTACGTGATATACAGTTGTCCCATTTCCATTTTATTTGTGGAAGCTAAGTGGGTTAGATGTCTGAGTTTGTGCGCTGGAAAATAGGTGCCTGGCTCGGAGTGTGTGGGTTCGAATCACTGATGGGCTCAACCCAACTAAGAACTAGAACCTGTACTTTACTGAGAAAGTGTAATTCAAAATATAACATATGTTACATTTGACCATTTCCTAAATGGCATTGTGTGTTCATGCTGACTTTGTCGTGACTCTTTGCACAATATAATCGAACCTGTAGTAGATAAACAACCCCGCCCATTGTATGCATACCCCACCAGGCCCGTTGTCCAAGCTCAGTAGCAGTTGGGTATTCCCTCCAGTTTTTTATTGCGATTTTACAAGCATGGTTTACCGCGGGTCCATTATTGCCCAGAACACACACGGAGATGAGCCCTTATGATGAAAGCACTGTGAAAAGTCAAATTTGGAAGAAGACGAGTCCACGAGGTGTAATAGAAATAACCATTACAGGCTGGCGATGAATTACCCCCGACTGGCCACCGTGCAACGATCAGGATGCTTCTTCCATTGGAAGAACTATGAGGCGGGATATTACGATTATAAAATGTTAATTTCACAGCAGGGTTGGGCGTGATTGTATGTCCGAGGTTGGGTTTTCGTGAAGTGCCACATATTCAATCATGTAATAATATCCTCACACCTGCAGTCACAGCGTGCCTGACAATGTCTTTGGGGCAATATTGAGTAATGTTGCAAACTCTCACAAATTACGTTTGTTTGAGGAACCCCAACAGAAGCTAAAATTCCTATTTAATTGAATGAACAATACTTAATGCATTTTTAGAAGTTGTTGATGGTTTGTGAACGTTGCCGAGACAACTAACTACACAGAACTGATGTTATGGTTGCCGGTGGTTGAGGTAATAGCATCAATCTACCTGTGTTTAAGAGCCGTGAAAAGTTTATTGGTGCTGTAATTTGAATGCGCAGCCGTCTTGGCACACGTAACCGTAACCAAAGTGTTTGGTTAAAGGTAACTGGAATAATACGTTGTATGACGATTGTTCACAAGGATTTCTTTTAAATAATAAACTTTAGCTCGGTGTATACTGTAATATATATAATGCAAGTTAATATATGGAACCATGTTTATAAAACGGTAACTAAACTGTCAATATATGTGAATGAGGTCATTATAAAATATCTGTAATCTGTACAAAAAGTATTTTCGATTGGACAACATATGTTACCGTCACCGGATATTTCGATTTGTCCCAGTTTGATAAGCTCATATAATAGCCGACGTATTTCGAGAGAAAATGGGGAAAATTACAGAAACCCTTTGTACCTGCAAGTTCCTTGTCTGAAAGGAACGCTGGGAGGGGGCAAGGCTGTTGAGAAGAAATTATGATGACTTTTAACTTTATTATTCAAGACGATGAATAATAAAAGCGAAGGAACGAACAAAGCGAGAGAGGGGTGACAGCATTACTGATTCAACGACCCGTAACGATTGCAAAAACCAAGGTTTCTTAGGCTAATCTATTAATTGTCCTTTTTCGTGTGTTAAATTTGAGTAGTTTTGTGTATAACAAACAGGTAATTGTTGGGAAACATTTTTTAACTGGAATGCATATTTGAACAAAAATTTTGATTTTCGCAACGCGTTGCGTGAATGAGTGGGAACAACGCATGGTCGGATATGTAGAATAGGTGATGGTTTTGTGATTGTGTGGGGATGACAGGAGGCTGCTCGGTGGTTTAAGAAACATATGTGCTGGCTTGTTCTGCAGACTTGTTCAACGTCCCAGGTAAAAGAGGAGCGAAACAGACTTCTTTACAAATGGCCCTGTGAAGATTGATTATTCAAGTGTTAAATGTTGGAGTTATTCGGACACAAACTAGAGGTACGTCCCTTTGAACACCCTTGAGTTAAATATATTATTCATACGACTATTTAAAAATAATTTATTAATGTCTATAATACCCCAATGTATTAATGAAAAATCTGAATAATTATAGGAAGATGCGAGAAATATTTTATCAAAATAATTTTGTGACAAAAAAACTTACGGAACAAAGTTACTTATTATTCAATGTACATCTGTTTATGATTCATTAGGATATGCATATTGGTGCATATAGATGTGTGATGTTTCCATAGGAATATTTCTTAAACTGCATTTATTGCTTTCATGTTTTATGAGGAGATATTAATACGATAACCTTTGACGCCATGTTTGACTTGCTACAAAATCAAAAGTGAACAAGTGTCAATATGACTTCCTGACCGACTTTTGAAACCGAATACTATATTTTCAAATTGTAATTACTTCCTATGAAGTTTCAGAAACACGATTTTCCCGAGGCAAAACACGTGGGCGAAGTACTTCAACCTTTTACCGCATACGTTTTACTACTTTTACTGACGAGGCTTACGTCCAGCAACAGCTGGTAGGTCAACGGTTCAAGACATATCAAATAATGGTGTTTGAATTTGTATCAATGCATCATCACTTTAAACGATTTACGAGTGACAAGTATAATAATTAAAACGTCCAATTACCATCTAAAATTACGCAAATGTACATGATTCCTACAATAATTTCAATGATAATTAAAAACAAGTGTTATGACACATTTAATCAATAATTTATAATATGTAACAGCGGGCATACTTTCCTCCTCACAAGAGCAGATATCATCATATGTTTTAGACACATCCAGTTGCTCTTACTTTTTGTGTTACTGAGTCTGCAGGTATGTTTCTGTAGTACACATGCACAGTGTCTTCTTAATATTTCCCTTGTATTTATATACAAATGATAACGAAATGTATATTTGTACTAGACGTGCTGTGTGATATGTACCATACACCATATATGCACATTGTGTGCACCCACCACGCCAATACTCCAACATTACTGCATCAGTTCTATATGTAATGTATATTCACAACATTACCTATCCTCCGTGTATCTTGTAAGTATCATATCTTTTATAAAGAAAATACTTTATTATACGCATGGGTTCATGTATAGTCTGTCTCCATACACTGTATATCTATATCCGCAGGAGATACATTCATGTATAGTCTGTCTCCATACACTGTATATCTATATCCGCAGGAGATACATTCATATATAGT